CCTTAAACCAAAAATATTGCCTGAAGTCTTCTTAAAACCAAACAATAGCCTTAAACCAAAAATATTGCCTGAAGTCTTCCTAAAACCAAACAATAGCCTTAAACCAAAAATATTGCCTGAAGTCTTCTTAAAACCAAACAATAGTTTAGCTTAACTAGTAAAAAATGTCTACCTTGAGCATTATGCTCTTTTAAGAACTATCTATATGGGATCAAAGTGACAATAGCTACTCCAAAGATTAGATGGGAACCTTAGGGGGCAGTGAGTTTATGTTAATGGGTGAGGAACAACTCAGAAAAGGAAGGTAAAAATGGTTGCACACCTCAAAGAGTGTAATCAGCATCACTGAATTGTACGTGTAGAAATGGTTGAATTGATGTATGTTTTGCTGTGTATATTCTCAACAACAACAACAAACTAAAATATTTTAAAACAGAAGGGAAAAAAAAACTCATAAGTAACAGAAGCCATTGAACTATCTCCCTCTATTAAAGAGCATTTTAGGCATTTATACCTAATTAAACTATCTCCATGATATCATCAGAAAACTTGAAAACGGAAAATTTGAAGCTGAAAGTGGGCAGTATCCAAAGCAGCTACCCTTGAGAAGTAGTCTTAGGACCTCCATTCTCTGCTTAAGTGACTTATAGGTCTGTCCCCATCAGCAGCACATCAATACTATGCTTGAAACATCTCCATATGTTTCAATTCCATGTCCAGACTCAATGCAAAACTATTTTTTTTTTCTTTTTTGATATTTCTTGGAAAGAAAGTTTGGGGAATAGAGGAAGCTTTTCTTCTAGTGGCTGTCTTGGATTCTTTAGTCTTATATATTTTCAATGGACACTGATTAAATCCAGAGAGTAATCAAACTTTAAGGAACTTGCCTTACAACTGAATATCCACGGTTTATAAACAAGAACTTTCATCCTGAATTACCATTATGTGAAATTAGATTTTTTTTAATATTATTAAGAATATGGAAAGAGCCAGTGGCTTAGTAGTTTGTGAATATGTCAAATCAGGCAATGTTAAGTAAAGTTTCTATCAATAACAAAGATATGAATTATGTTTCACCCTGTAAGTATATCCACATAGGAAAATTAAATAAAAACAATGTACATTTTGACCAGTGGTTTCTATTCAGGAATAAAATACAATAATCAATATCTTTGGAAGATTATTTTTGAAGATCTAACCCAGGTCTCAGTAGCAACTCATATGTAAGCCGTACAGTCATACATACGGTATCAATCTGTTTTTCAGATCTATCAACAAGGAAATTTTTTCTCAAAGGAGATAAAATGTATTTAGGCCTATTACAAGTGACTTGGTGTTTTAGGCAATATACAGTTTAGTCAGTTTGTTTATATTTCTGCCTATTTTTGTTTTATATAAGTACTGATCATATTCTCAATATGCATAAACCTATATGGTAAAATCTCAATTTACCAAATTTCTTGGAGAATAAATGAGGTTTCCTATTAAAGATTTCCTATTAAGGTTTCTTCAGAATGCCGACAAAATGGCAGCATGAGCAGGTCTAGTATCCTGACCCTCCCACATGAACAACAAGAAAAGCAACAAAAAAATCTATAATCAACCCTTTAAGAACTCTGAAAAGGTAGGCAAAGGATGCCAGCAAAGAACTAAAAACTGAAACAAGAATGAATTTCAAACAGCAGGAAAATCATTTCTTTCACTGTCCCTGTCCCTCTCCCTCCTGCTGCAGCTGTGGCCCCAGCTGACCCATGGCTCTCCTGTGCCCTAAGAAGGGCCCAGACATCTGGCCCAGAACTAAATAGGGCAGATCTTGCTAGCAGACTGTTCAGGGTGTATGTTCTGATCAGCCTAAAGGATTAGGTCCTTGGTATCACCCAAATAGGAGCTCTCACAGAGCCTCAGAAGGAGTGGAGAGCAAAGACCAAAGGCTGTGCCAGCCTGAGGACAGGCTGATCAGCGTGTCTTTTCTGATTCATCTGAAAGCTTTCTGAAGGACTGAAACCTTGGTCTGGCCTGAATCGAAGTTCTCACAGAGTAGAAGGAGCAGTGAGTAAAGACTGAGGCTATGCCTGCCTGAGGGTGAACTGATCAGTGCATCTTTTCTGATCAATCTGGGAGCTACCTGAAAGACTGAAACCTTGCTCTGGCCTGAACCAGAACTTTCACAGAACAGTGAAGTGAGCAGTGAGCAAAGACTAAAGGCTGTGCCCACCTGAGAGCTTCTTGAAGAAATTAATGCTTTTCAAAGCATCATGTATGCAGAAGGAAAATCACAGGGCTCACAAAGAAACTGGAAATGATGGCCTATTCAAAAGAACAAGATGAAGAGAGAAGAATAATGTCTGTGAAAGCCCAGGTAATGAACAGGTTAGAAAAAATATAATACAACAATATTAAACATGCTCAAATAACTAAAGGAAAATACAAAGAACTGAAGGAAATCAGTAAAATGATGCACGAACAAAACAAAAATATAAATAAAGAGATAAAATAAAAACCAAATCCACTGCTGTCAAGTCGATTTCAACTCATAGTGACCCTGTAGGACAGAGTAGAACTGCCCCATAGAGTTTCCAAGGCTGTAATCTTTATGGGAGCAGAGTGCCATATCTTTCTCCCACAGAGCAGCAGCAGGGGGTTTGAACCACTGACCTTCTGGTTAGCAGCTAAGCACTTAACCTTTGTACCACCAGGGCTCCTTCTAAATAAAGAGCTAGACACTATAAAAAGAAATGAAACAGAAATGCTATAACTAAAGATACAATAACTGAAGTGAAAAACTCATTGGACAAGCTTAACAGCAGATTTGAGCTAGCAGAAGAAAGAACTGGTAAACTAAAGAATAAGGCAATCGAAATTATAGAATCTGAAGAGCAACAGAGGGATGGATCAAGACTGCTGAGCAGGCTGGTATTTTTGTTGTGTGCCATCAAGTCGATTCTGACTCTTAGTGACTTTACTGGACAGAACAGAACTGACCCATTGAGTTTCCAAGGCTGTAATATTTACAGAAGCAGTCTGCCACATCTTTCTCCCACAGAGCAGCTGGTGGGTTCAAACCAACGACCTTTCAGTTGGCGGCCAAGTACTTAACCACTGCACCACCAGGGCTCCTTCTGATGAGTATAGCCTAATGGAAAGATTGGACACCATCAAGCAAACTAACATACACATCATGGGAATCCCAGAAGGAGAAGAAAGAAAGAATATCTTAAGAAATACTGACAAAAGAAACTTCCCAAATCTGACAAAGCACATGAATCTACAAATCCAAGAAGTTCAGTGAATTCTAAGTAGGATAAACCCAAAGATAGCCACATGGAGACATATTATAATCAAGCTCTCAAAAACTAAAGAGAGGATCCTGCATGCAGCAAGAGAAAAGCAAATTGTCACAAACAAAGGAAAAAGATTAAGTGTCAATTTCTCCTCAGAAAACTTGAAGGCCAGAAGGCAGTTAACTAATATATTTAAAGTGCTAAAAGAAGAGAACTGTCAACCAAGAACATGGCAAAACCATCCTTCAAGAAGGAGGGCAAAATTAAGACATTCACAGATAAACAAAAGCTGAGTGAGTTTATTACCATTAGACCTGTACTACAAGAAATGCTAAAGGAAGTCCTTCAGATGAAAAAAAAAAAAGACACTAGACAGTAACACAAAGTCATACACAGAGAAAAAGATCTCCATTAAAGGTTAGCTTGTGGTCAAGTTTAAGGCCTAGTATTTTTTTGTTCCTAAATTTTATTTATCTTGTTGTTGTTGAGAATATACACAGCAAAACTACACCAATTCAACAGTTTCTACATGTACGATTTAGTAACATTGATTACATTCTTCAAGTTATGCAACAATACTCACCCTCCTTTTCTGAGTTGTTCCTCCATCATTAATATAAGCTCACTGCCTCCTAAGGTTATAAGGGCCAGTTTTAAGGTAATTTTGATTGATAATACTAGTAATTACGTCCTTCATGCTTTACAATGGCAAATGCATAAAAGTAAGTATAAATATGTTACAGGACACATGATGTATAAAGACGTAATACGTGATAACAACAACATACATAGGGGGAGGGGAATGAAGAGTGGTAGAAGAATAGTTTTTGTATGTTACTTAATTTGTTATCAATGTAATTTTCATGGTAACCACAAAGAAAATAACTAAAAAGTATACACAAAAGGAAAGGAGAAGAGAATCAAAATGGTTCACTACAAAAAAATCAACAAAACACATATATTGGCATTATTAAGGAAATGAGGGCAAAGAAGTTATAAGACACATAACAACAACATAGCAAAAGTAAGTCCTTCCTTATTAGTAAATTACTGTGAATGTAAATGGACTAAACACTCCAATCAAGAGTGCCAGACAGAGGTATAATGGATTTAAAAAAAAAAAAAAAATGATCCAACTATTTGCTGTCTCCAAGAAACACATCTGAGGCCCAAAGACACAAACAGGTTGAAAGTGAAAGAATGGAAAAAAATAATCATTGCAAATAGTAACCAGAAGAGAGTTAGGATAGTGATTTTAATATCAGACAAAATAGACTTTAAGTCAAAATCAGTTATAAGAGACAAACAATGACATTCTATAATGAAAAAAAGGGTCAATTCATCAAGAAGATGTAACAGTTGTAAATATATATGCACCTAACATTAGCGCCCCAAAATATATAAAGCAATCATAGACAGACTTGAAGGGAGAAATAGACTGTTCTACAGTAATAGTTGAAGACTTCAATACAGCACTTTCAATAGTCAACTGAACAACTATAAAGAAGTTCAATAAAGAAATAGAGGATTTGATCAACATTATAAACCAACTGGACCTAACAGACATATCTAAAACACTCCACCCAATAACAGCACAATATACATTCTTCTCCCATGCATATGTATCATTCTCCATGATAGACTGTATGTTTGGTCACAAAGTAAGTCTCAATAAATTTAAAAAGCTTGAAATCATACAAAGCATCTGTGTGACCACAATGAACTGAAATTAGAAGCTAATAAAGAAGAAAAACTGGAAAACACACAAATATGTGGAAATTAAACAACACAGCAATACAAAGCCAAACAGTAAAAAATGTAACCAGTGTCTCTGAACAATATGATCTATGCAGAAGTTGTTAACTAAGAACCTAACTTGCTGTGTAAACATCCACCAAAAACACAATAAAATATTATTTAAAAAAAGAAAAAAAAGCCAATCGGTCAAGACACAAATCATAAAATACTCAGGGGTGGATGAAAGCACAATACACCAAAATTTATGGGATGCAGTGAAGGCAGGGCTCAGAAAGAAACTTACAGTGGTAAACGTCTACATTAAAGAAGAAAGATCTCAAGTCATTAACCTAACTTTACGACTAGAAGAACTATAAAAAGAAGAGCAAACAAGGGAGGAAATAAAATCAGAGCACATATAAAAGTAAGAGACTAGAAAAATAGAGAGAATCAACAAAACCTGAAGCTGGTCTTTTGAAAATACCAATAAAATTAACAAACAGTTAGACTGACAAAGAAACACAAAGAAGATGCAAATCTCTACTACCAGAAATGAAAGTGGGGACATTACAACCAACCCTAAACCAATAAATAAATAAATAAACCAAACCTGTTGACATAAAGTTGATTCCGACTCAAGGAGATCCAAAAGACAGAATAGAACTACCCTATAGGGTTTCCAAGGCTGTAATCTTTATGGAAGCAGACTGCCACATCTTTCTCTTGCAGAGTGGCTGGTACGTTTGAACCACCGACCTTTCACTTAGCAGCCGAGCACTTAACCACTGCGACACCAAGGCTCCCTACAACCATCTCTACAGAAATAGAAAAGATCCTAAGAGATTACTAAGAAGAATGTATGCCAGCAAATTAGAAACTTACAGGAAATGGACAAATTACTAGAAACACATAAACTTCCCACCATGACTCAAGAAGAAACAGAATCTCAACAGACCCATGCCGAGTGAAGGGATTAAATCAGTAATCAAAAACCTCCCAATAAAGAAAAGTCCTGAACCAGATGGCTTCACTGGGGAATTCTACCAAACATTTATAGAAGTGACCCCAATCCTTCTTAAACCTTTCCAAAAAAATAGAAAAGAAAGGAACACTTCCTAATTCATTCTATGAGGTTAGCATTACCCTAATTCCAAAGCTAGGCAAAGACACTACAAGAAAACTACAGCCCAATGTCTTATGACTATATATACAAAACCCCACAACAAAATATCAGCAAACCAAATCCAAAAGCATACTGAAAGGATTATACACCATGATTAAGTAGGATTTATCCCAGGAATCCAAGAGTAGTTCAACGTTAGAAAATCAATCAATGTAATATATACCACATTGACAGAACAAAGTGGGGGAGGGGACCACATGATCATCTCAATCAATGCAGAGAAGGCATTTAAACAAAATGCAACACTCTTTCATTATTGAAAACACTCAAAAAGCTAAGAATAGAGGGGAAATTCCTCAATATGATAAAGGACATTTATGAAAACCCACAGCTAAGTCATACTCAATGGAGAAAGATTGAAAGCTTCCCCCTTAAGATCAGAACAAGACAAGGATGCCCACTTCCTCCACTTCTATTCAACATTTTACTGAAAGTCCTAGCAAGAGCAATTAGGCAAGAAAGAGGAATAAAAGGTATCCAAATCAGGATGGAAGAAGTAAAATGCTCCCTTTTCACTGATGACATGACCTCATATATAGAAATTCCCAAAGAATCCAGAGGAAAGCTACTAGAGCTAATAAAACAAATTCAGCAAAGTGGCAGGATACAAGGTCAACACACAGTAATAGGCTGGGTTTCTATACATGAGCAATGAGCAATCTGAAAAGGAAATTGAGAAACGATTCCATCTACAATAGCATCTAAAAGAAAAATCCCTAAGAATAAATTTGTACCGGGAGGTGAAAGACTTATACACAAAAACTATAAAACTTTACCAGAATAAATTTTAAAAGACATAAATAAATAGAAGGACGTTCCAAGTTCATGGATTGGAAGATTTAATATTGTTAAGATGCCAATACTACCCAAAGTGATCTATAGATCAATGCAATCCCTATCAAAATTCCAACAACTGTTTTTGGAGAAATGGAAAAGCCAATCCTCAAGTTTCTGCGGAACTGCAAGGGACCCTGAACAGCCAAAGCAATCTTGAAAAATAAGAACAAAGTAGGAGGACTCACATTCCTTATTTCAAAACATACTATAAAGCTACAATAATCAAAACAGTCTGGTACTATTATAATGATAGATATATAGTTAGATATAATGATAGATCAATGGAACAGAACTGAGAGTCTAGAAATAAACTCATACATCCATGGTCCATTTATTTTTGACAAGAATGCAGAAGGAATAATATCTTCAATAAATGTTGCTGAGACAAGTGGATTTCCACACGCAAAAGAATGAAGCTGGACCCAATACCTCATACCTTATACAAAAATTAACTCAAAATGGACCCAGGACCTAAATGTAAGAACTATAACCATAAAACTCTTAAAAGAAAACATAACAGTAACACTTTAGGATCTAGTTTTTGATGATGGATTCTTGGATATGACAGCAAAAGCATAAGTAACAAAAGGCAAAATAAATAAACTGGACTTAATCAATATTAAAGAATTTTTGTGCATCAAAGGACTTCATTAACAAAGAAAAGAGAACCTACAGATTGGGAGAAAATTTTTGGAAACCAAATATTGGATAAGGGTTTAATATCCAGAATATATAAAGAACTCCTACAACTTAACAATGAAAAGACCAACAACCCAATTAAAAAATAGTCAAAGGACTTGAATAGCCATTTCACCAAAGAAGATATACCAATAGCCAACAAACACATAGAAAGATGCTTAATGTCATTAATCATTAAGTAAATGCAAATCAAAACCACAATGAGATACCATTTCACCTCCACTAGGATGGCTATGATCAGAAAAATGGAAAACAACAAGTGTTAGCAAGCATGTTGAGAAATTGGAAGATTCCTCCATTGCTGGTGGGATTGTAAAATGGTGCAAACATTTTGGAAAACAATTTGGCAGTTCCTCAAAAAGTTAAACATAGAATTACCATATAACCCAGCAATTCCACTCCTAGGTATATACCCAAAAGAATTGAAAGCAGGAACACAAACAGAAACCTGAACACCAATGTTCACTGCAGCATGATTCACAATAACCAAAAGGTGGAAACAAACTAAATGTCCATCAACAGATGAATGGATAAACAAAATGTGGCATATACATACAATGGAATATTACTCAGCCATAAAGAGAAATAAAGTTCAGATACATGCTACAACATGAATGAACCGTGAAAACATTATGCTGAGTGAAATAAGTCAGTCAATTATTGTTTGAGCCCATTTATATGCAATATCTAGAATAGACAAATTATAAAGAGAGACCAAACTTCATTAGTGGTTACCAGGAACAGGAGGGAGGGAGAAAGGGGGAGTTATTGTTTAGGGGGCACTGACTTTCTATTAAGGGTGACAGAAAAATTTGGAAACAGATAATGGTGATGGTTGCACAGCATGATGAACGTAATTAATGTCACTGAATCATACATGTAAAAGTTGAAATGGCAAGTGTTTTGTTACACAAATTTTTACAAATAAAAAAACCCACTAAGGTTTCCTCCAAAACCCATACTATTTCCTCTGCCTAAAATATCTGAATTTCTCCCCCTGCCAAAATAACTATATTATGGAGAATATAAGGCCAGCTTTCTTTGATACACAAGGAATTCTCAATCTGAAAATTGATCAGTGCCTAGCTCAGAGCAGGCACATATATTTGTTAAATAAATGAATGACTCATTATCCAGAACGACCGACAAGCTTGGTACAAAGTGGAAAAACTGGGATGTATTTATTACTGATCCAGGATATGCTTTTAAAATATTGTTAATGTGGCCTTGCTTATGTGAATTTTCTGCTTTTTCTTAGAAATGATAAGGAATATTAAACTTCTTGATGAGTTGTTTGTCATGATTTGAGCTTCCACTGTGTGACTGACAACTGATCTTCACCACTTAGGAAATGATTCCTAACTCTGAGTGTGTTTCCCTTTTTAACAGCTATTGTCCAAGGAGACACCTTAGAAGATATATATACCCAATGCAAGCTTGTTATTGAAGAGCAATCTGGGCCTTTCATCTGGATTCCCTCAAAGGAAAAGTTATAAATTAGCTACTGCACCTCTGACAACAACAGAAGAGCATTTAGAAGAACAAAATACATATAATATACTACTTGGAGGCTTTTATGTTTTTGTTGCATTTTATGTTTTTGCAGTCAATGTGAATTTTTATGAATGTACAACACAAACTGTGTGAAGCCATGAAGGAAACGGAGGGGCCAAAGGGTGGGACAGAAAAGACATTGCAGTATGCAGGAAGGCTTTGGTTTGTTCAAAGTGCCAGGTGTAGGGATGAACCTCTGACAGGCTTTCTGCCCAAGAGATGGGCAGCCTTCCTCACCCCAGCAGATGTCCAGAGCTGATTTAGCTGCTGATCTCTCTGTGTTTTTTGCTTTAAAGAAAAGTTGCCAGCACTTGAACCTCACCAACCTTCCCATTACCCACATCTGTAATTGGTACACTTCCAATTTTATAACTATGCACATCCTTTGATTTCTTACCAAGAAAAAGAAAGAAAGAAAGAAGGAAAAAAGGAAGGAGTCCCTTTGGAGACAGCATATCAGGGAAGGATAAGTGTGTAGTTTCTTTGACTGGCATCTGCAAAGACAAGCATTTCATAAAATTCACAAGAGTATGGAGGACTGACCTTACTAAAAGGAGAGGACTCCACCTGGGATTAGCTTTATGATGTTGATTGTCTATTTTGCCATTTATAAAGTGAAAGAAGGCACTAAAGATGAGAATAATTTATACAATAAAAATATATTAAATGTATAGAAATGAATTTCTATAGGTTAAAAAAAGTTTTGTGAAATATTTTATAAAGACTAACTCAAAGACTAAATGTATGCACTCTCAGCAGATCATGAAATTCAAGACCTGAAAGTTGTACTCTCCCTTTTGTTGCCAATGATCCATTAAGAGCACCTGAGTTCCTTCGGAAGTCTGACAAAGACCTCCCTCACTATCCTCCTATGACCTCCCTTCCACACTAGAGATATACTCTCATGAAGCACATTTTTAAATGAGTTGCCCTCATGGATATTTTTCGACGACCTTTCATTAATACATTTTTAAGTTGATGGCTTTTCAGAAACAAACTCATACAAATGATACTAAGGGAAGTTTTTGCTTTTCTCTTGTTAAACAACCTGGGCCTGCTGTGCAAATAGCTGAATAACTTGTTCCTAGTTACTTACATTTCTTAAAGGATCTTTTAGTATTTTTGGCCAGCGATGAGTAATTAGCATTACTATTTTTTTTGTATCACAGAGTAACTGAGGGTTTTGTTAACAGCCAGAGATGGTATACAGCCTTGGGGAGATCTGTCCCAACATACACTTTTTTTTGAGGAAGAGAGAGAAGAGACATATCTGGTTGGGGGGTGAGGGGTGCAGACTTTTGTTTCTGTGTGCAGGGCAAAAAGATAGAACCACAAGAAAAAACAAATACTTTGAGCTCAACCAACTGAACTGCCTTTCTTGGGGCTGCACCTGGACCAACTTTATTTTTTAACAATTACAATAATGATGACTAAAAATAGAAATCTCCCAAAGCCTATAAACTGAACCAGAATAGTTAGTTCCATGCTTCAAAGCTGATATCAGCATTGCTTTTGCCCAACGTGTTTAGGGAGAGTTACTTCAGTGATCTCAATAACCACTCAACTCTGGGTTCTATGCATGCCCAGACTAAGCCCCATCGCCTTATTTCTGGGGTACATCCAGACCTGGCAGGGATTCTGCCACACTGTGCAGCAAACCAGCACGTAGGCTGGGGTGGGAAAGCAAGAGACAGAGCCATCAGTAGTGATGGGGCTTATTCACAGTAAGACCATCAGAGCTCAGGTTGAGGGTCTCTTTCCAAAAACAAGGATTGTTCGTCTCACACTAAATACTAATTGTCTACCTGGCTGCAGTCACCAAAACATACCCCAAAATGCAAAATCATGCATCTACCTATAGTTTTGAGGCTGCCTTTGCCAATGGAAGGGCTAGCAATGCATTTTTCCTCGGATGAAAGTTAAGTTTCTGGAAACTTCCTTAGAGTGCTCAAAATGTTAAAGATGTTTCCACGTCTGCAATTTGCCAGTTTCACGTCAAGGCCTACTTTCATCAAAATTGCTCCCAGAAGTTTTCTGCCACCAGAATGCCATTCTTGATTCCAGCTCTTATTTTTAGGCCACCATGATAACTTCTTTGGTTTCTCAACTGAGCATGCAACCATTTATTTAAAGGACTATCATTAATGAGTAGATGTTTTCGCGGGTCGTGTGATGTGCTTTCCATTTAATAGTATTGCTGTGGCTGAGTACAATCAAATTGAACCACCAACCCTTGGTTTTGTAGTAATATAATTATTTATTTTCCTAGTGTAGATGCTTCCAGATTAGAACTGGCATTTGCACTGATTTTTTTATGTAGATTTATATAAATATATATATACATATATATTTGCTTGAAGAATCACCAAGCAAATTGGTGAGAGGGTCTTTTTCCTATAGAATTTACACCTCCATTTGTTGTGTTGTCTTGCGCTTCCCAATGTTGAGGCCTCTTTGGCTCCAATGAATTGGTGTATTTTGCAACAAATCTGACAACTTGTATGGAAATGGCACGAAAGTTACCCAGATTACATCTGGTGCAAATGCACTTGGAGCCTGGGGCCAGACTGGTGCTAACGTTGCAAACTTTGTCCGGAGCTCTCTCCAATCTGAAGGCTTGCTGGGGGCGCAATGTCACCTTCACATGCTGAGCCCTTTCAGAAAAGTGCCAGATCGTGTCACTGGTGCTATTTTTCATGCTCTGGTACAATGTGTAGCACCACGGGGGTCTCAGCTTTACCAAAATCAAAATCCCATATGTCAGCTAATGGCAAGGACACTTGTTTTTTGCTCTCCTCCTGCAGGATTTGTTGGTCATTGCTTTGCAGGTCTTTTCTCCAGCCCCAAGTTTGTGGGTTGGCTAGAACTGCTTAGTGAGCCCATCTTTACAAAGCCACACTCGGGTGCCTCTGTGAGCTGTCTTAGATTCTACTGCCAGCCCTTCAGGACGATGAGCCAGTGAAAAGCCTTCCACCCTCCTGGCTCACGCCACTGTCATTTTTCTCATTCTTTTCCTCTGCTCTCCCCCGTCTATTTTTATATTCTATCCATCTTTTCTATATTCATTCCATCTTTTTTATATTTCTCTTTAATCTGTTCTTCCTCTCTTTTTTTGGTTTGCTTTCTCCTAGTCCTTCTTTAGTCTCCTCCCTTTATTCTCTCTCTTTATTGATGTTCTCCTCTTTAGTCTCAGTCGTTTCTTCCTCTTTCTCCTTTTCTCTTCACCTCAGATCTCTGATCATCTTTTCCATACCCTACTTGTTAATTTTTTCTGTCCTATAAGGGCGCCTGGCTGATTCAGACAGCAAGTCCATAAACTGGACTACTGACACAAATACTTTGGGTCGTGTTTCACCTACTCAGCCCAGAATGCAAAGCTGAGCGTGAGGTCTGATCTGGAGCCAGCTCCAGCACCCCTCACTGAGCCAGCCTGCACCACTGCCCTGGCAGTGATGTGCATTGCTCTGGGTCCTGCTGGCACCTGGGTGCCTCTGCCTGAATGCTGGTCCAGAGTGAGCCCGCTCCCAAAACCTATCCCGTGGCTCTGAGGACACTTCCTTTGAATAAAGGCAGACACTGGCTCCAACAATTATCCTGACAGCAAACTTCTTCCTGCTCATTGAAGCCATGCCATCGCCTTGGTTTGGAGAGAGACAATTCTGCCATTCATTAGCTTTCCTTTTCCCATCTTCATGTGAAGCCCCCTCTGCTTTTCAGTTGGTGACTGCTCTGGTGAGCCTGAATGGACTCGCTGGTGAAATACCATCTCTTTTTTCCTGTCTTGGTCCTGCCTAAATTCCTACAAAAACATTTGAGCCAAGAACTCAGGCTAGTTACTATGTTTATCCTATGAATTTGTCACTACTAGGGGAAATTTTTTTAAAAAAAAAGGGCAATTCCCTTAAAACACATGGAGTGCCTCCTGTGACAACTGATTTGACATGGAACTCCCTAAAAAATTCCGTGGATATATATTTAACTCACGTGTATGTATGGTATATATGGCATGTATATCATCTATACACATATTACATTAGGTATGAATGAATGTGGATGGAAACCCACACACACACTCCAGTCTGTAAATATCCTTCCTCAATGAAACCTGTGTTTAGGAAAGCATTTCTTGTACAGCTGTGCAGTTTCTTGTAGCAGCTGAAGACAAGCCAAGACAGGTGGACAATTTTAGATCATCTAAAAGCGAGAGTACAGTATCTCCCTAGCAACTCATGAGGACAGACAACAAAATGGCAAGGCTGACTCCCAAGGGGATGGCAAACTTTTCTTCTCTCCTTTATGAATTTGTGTTTCTTAAGTGTGTCTTAACTTCTGAGTGCACCAGGCTGTACCCGTTAGATCCTTTAAATATAACAATTTTGTGCTTCTCTCTGACAGGATGTTTCTCAATAGAGCTGTAGTGCAGGACGGGAGGGAGGGGGAAATACTCCTTGTCTGGGCTGGAGTTTACTGAGACACTGCACAGCTTACACTCCTGTTAAGTGTAAATATTCAACACTTCCATTCCATTTGTGTAAAAAATAAAGCACATGATTATAAAATCAAGATGTATATTTCATACTCAGTGTGTCTGTGCATATTTATTGCGTTTCCAGTTGTCAGCAGTGACTCCATTGTAAAAATGCTGGATAGAGTGTTTATAAACATGTCATGGTTTTATTATCAGATATTAATATTAAAACATTTTTATACTTTATAGCAAGTGGTTTTCTCCCAAAGCATAATTTGTCTTATTTCATAAAAAACAGAAAGACTTATTTCTATTTTTATCACCTTTGCCTGAGTTCAGAGCTAAAATGCAATTAGGGTAGGTTTTCTCTGAGAAATATTGGCACTGCTGAAAGGAACTGAAAATGGTGCCTTTGCATATTTTTTAAATATTTGGTTACCATCTTGCCTGCTTTTAATCAGGATTTTGTCAAAAGTAAATATAGCTAACAATGTATTGAAGGATATGTTTTTAAAGACCCTCACATCTGTGCAGGGAAAAACAAAATCCAAGTGTCAGCATTGTGAGATTCCAGAATACAGAAAAATGATTTTTCTTATCTGAAAATTATGATGCAAACAAAGGCATAAGTAGGAGAAAAGGTAACATTATCTGTATACACAGAAGCCACAAAAAAATATCACTTCAAAGAGCCAAACAGATCAAAAAAAGTCAGGTTTGAAAACCTGAAATCTGCCAAATAATGTTCTAAATTCTCCATTTTAGGTTAGATATATGCCTTATGATATTGACATTTAGACAGCACAGGTCTGACAGCTAGAGAACCAAAACAAATTCCCCCTGTGGAAGGGGTGAAATTTTGCCATCAAAGTAGTCACTTTGAAGTCTGTTTTCTTTCATGATAAATTATCAAATAATTGGATCAACCATTTGGGAAGCCAGACTAGTTGGTCAAACCATCTTGGTCATCACGATGGGCCAACAAGAGTCTGCCAGGTGTCTAACGCCGTCCCTGGTACTTAATGGTGAACAAAGCGGAAGCGTAAGAAGGCATTGACTGAGGCTGCAAGCCCAGTGCAGGCCTCAAGTGTTGACGATTATTCAGTGTTTAACATTTACATAGTCTCCGAGGTTTATTATTAATGGTAACACTGCACAAAGATTCACTTCAATAATGGGTTTATTTGTTCAGGAAAAAGAAAACTAGACAAGCATTTTGACTTTTTAGTCCCATTTCATTTCTATGTAACTATTTTTTTAAACATGATTCTAGAAGTCCCAAAAGCTAGAAGTGGCCCACACATCTTTGAACCTAAGAGGGCCTAGATATGAATCTGTGATCTTTATAGATACTCTGAGACCAAACATCCAATAATAGAATTTGAAAAATCTCCTGGGGCACTAAGGTAAGTAATGTGTATAGAGGGAGCCACCAGCTTTCTTAATATAACCAGACTCAGTGTTTAAATATGTCAGAGAAAGGTGTCTTATGGATAGGACTAGCTAGGCCTCATGACCCTTTTTTTTTGTTTTTTAACCTGTGACTCACCTTTCTCTTAGGGATATCTGAGAAGGCACCACTGCTATCATCAAACTGATCTCCTCCCCCTTCTAATGTTACAGCCAAAATGCTGAGTCAGGACCTTGTTCTTAGTTCCCTTTAGAACAACTGGGACAAAGAATATTTGGTGAAACTGTGCTAAATCCTGGGGGGTAACAAAATAAAGTAAACAAAAAATTATCTCATTTATGAGATAAGCTGAATGCCCAGCTCCTAGCCCACTGCCATGTGACAGGGGCCATTCTTCCCACCACCCAGGGGTTCCTCAGACAAGGCAAGACCAGATATCAGAACCTTTTTCCTGTTGCAGCTCACACGAGAGATGCTATGTCCATGACTGACTCTGCACAGGATTCCCCAGCTAAGGCAGCTTGCAGGTTAAGGATGCCAGCTGTCTTCATCCCTTTTGCTCCCACATGCTAGCAGAATACAAATGGGAGTGACTCTCTATAGTTAACTTTGATTACTCTTGTAAATTTCAAGCAACAAATGATCTGAATCATGCTTTACCACTAACACTGATGCACCAGGAGAACATCACCGGTCTAAGCTACTCAAAGCCAAAAAAGCAAAGCCAGAGAGAGACACGAGTTATCTCCCATCCTCCTAAGGCCTGCGTTTCCAATCTTGGTTCCCTGTTGTCTGGATGATTGACTTGGGAAAGGTCTGCTCTTCAAGGCTTCAACAGAACAACCTGTGTGAATGCTGTACAGCGGAAAGCTATATCCATACAGTGATACAAACACATAGAACGGGCTTCATTTGCAAAATACAATTGACTCGACTTCCATCTGA